GAAATCAGGCAGAGATGTCCCTTCTCATCATTTCTACTCAGTGCTGTTCTGGAGGTCCAAGAAAGTACATAAAGCACGAATTACTCAGAACGCATGAGGTAAAACTATCTTTATTTGCAACTGACATGATTATGTATACAGAAATCCTAAGGAACCAGCTAAAAGCTACAAGAATTTAGCAAGACCAAAGGATACAAGGTCAGTGCATAAAAACTGCATTTCTAGTCTGTATCAGTGAACATTCAGAAACTGATATTTAAAAATATAATTCTATTTTTGATCTTCAAACAGTAATTACTTAGGGATAAATTTAACAAAACATGTTTAATACCTAGGCACTGAAAACTATAAAAGCTTACTCAAAAAAATTAAAGAAGCCTTTTTGTAAAATGGAGAGATATATCACATTCATGGATTGGAAGATTATGTGAATTCTTCCTAAACCGATCCATAGATTCAATGCAATTCCAATCAAAATTCCATCAAGACTTTTTAAAACCAGAAACTGGCAAGCTGATTCCAAAATTTATATGGAAAAGCAAATGACCTAAAATAGTCAAGGTGCTCTTAAAAAACAAGTACAAAATAGGAAGACTTATATAATACCTGAGTTCCTGTAAAGCTACAGTATTCAAAATACTGAGGTCCTGGTAAAAAGATAGATCAGTGAGGCAGAAGAGAATCCAGAAAAAGACCCAGACATACACAAGCAACTGATGCCCAATAACAACAATATCAAGGCAATTAAGTGAGAAAAATCTGTTTTCAACAAATGCTGCTCCAACAGGTAGCATCTGTTTGAAAAAGAATGAACTTTGTTGCACCCCTACCTTGCATCACATACAAAATTAATTTGAAAGGAATCACAGACCTAAATTTCAGAACTAAAACTTCAAGAAGAAAGCATAGAAATAATCTTGTAATCATGGGGTGGTCAAAGAAACTTTCATGAAAGGAAATGATACACTGGACTTTAGCAAAGTTAAATATTTTGCTCTTTGAAAGATAAAAATAAAAGTCACAGTATGAGACAAAATATTCACAATATACTTATCATAGAACTTGTATCTGCAATATAAAAAGAACTCTTAAAACTTAATTTTACTGAAGGACAAGTAATTCAATTTTTTAATTGGGAAAAAAATTTGATTGGGCAAAAGATAATTCACAAAAGAGGGCATACAAATGGGCAATGAGACATGAAAAGAAGTTCAACATCACCAGGACATTCAAGTCAAAACCTCAATGAGATACCATTACATGCATTAGAATGGTAAAAATTAAAAAGACTGACAACATCAAGTCTTGCTGAGGATGCTGAAGAACTCAAATCCTAGCACACTCCTGAATGGGAGTTGAAAAATGGTACAGGCACTTCGGAAACTTGTTAAAAAGCTACCTGCACACATATATCCTGTCACTTAGATATTTATCCTCATAGGTATTTATCCAAAAGAAATGAAAACATGTGTCTATACAAAGGCATAATAGACATAATAACAATGTTCATAAGACCTTTATTCATAATGGCCAAAACCTTGGAAACAGCCCAAATGTCCATCACCAGGTGAATGGATAAAACATTGTGAATACACATACACTGGCATACCACTCCAGTAATAAAAAAAGAACCAACTACTGCTAAGGCAACATAAATCAATTGCAAAATTATTATGCTGAAAGAAAGCCAGACCCGAAAGATGACATGCAGTATTATTCCATTCACAAGTCATTCCAGAAATTCAAACTAATCTATAATGAGAGAAAACATATCAGTGATTATCTGATGCTGGCTGCAGCAAAGGATTGTAACAGCGCCTGAGGCAACTTTTGGAGGTGTTGGAAATGTTTTGTACCTTGACCACTGCAGTAGTTTCAGTAATGTACACATCTGGAAAACTCATCAAATTAAGATTTTAAATCAGAGCAGTTTATTATATATAAATTAGAGTCCACTAGGTTGTTTTTAAAATCACACACTAAAAATTTCACTAATGAATAATGAAGAAAAAAACTGATAGTCAAAGTAATCCAAAAGAGCTTATATTTAAAAACAGGTCCATATAATTGTCATAAAGAACAGTTCAAAAATGTTCTATTAGCAACGACAGTTATAAAGATTAAACTATTTAATAAAATGTATTTAAATTTAAACAGTCCTACAGGGATGTTAAACACACAATGTGGCCATGTTGCAAATTGATATACTTTAAATTTCTAAATTTTCCTGGGAAATAGGAATAGACACAGGTTTATTCTAAACTCATAAATGCCTAAACTTGTTTTGAATCTTTGCTATACTCTAAAAACAATAAACAATTCTCACATGACAATGTGTTTCTCTCTTCAATTTATTACTTAACACGGCTCAAAACCTCCATTACTCCAAGGAAGTCGAAGTAAACATTCACGTCTCACAAGATTCTTCCATTTGTTTCACTTTTCATTAAAGAAACTGCCTACAACTAAAACTCTGTAAGCCAGTAAAAATTAAAACAGCCACTAAACTTTTCTATTCATCACAAAACGAGCACACAGTCTGGTCTTTTGGTGGCAAAATGCACTTTCACTGCATAATCCAAGATACCTGAGCCATCCTAGGCTCACCTGGACAGGAAGAATTTCAAAGGATGGAAGTCAGCTTTACAGAAAAAAGAATTCATAAAGCCAACAACCCTGTGGCAATGCTTAAGAAAAGTTCAGAAGGAACTTGCTACAAAGGACCATGGCAAAATAGCTCCCCAATTATTTCTGTATAAAAGTATGTTGTATAGAATATGCAGAAGAATTGGAGTAAGAAAGAGAATAAATCAGATAAATTCAGGAAAAGTGCCAAAAACAGACATTTAATTAAAAATGGCAACATCTTGCCCTTGTCTAGCTTGGATTAATACTTAGTCTATAGGCACAGACCTGATCATCTACATTTGCCCTCTTACAGCACTAAACTATGTTTTCTACCTTTATCTTGCATCTACCTACCACTTCAGCATTTTATTTAAAAAAATAAATAAATAAGGGAGAAATGTGGGATTCACATATAAATCAAGTATAAAAATCAAATGAATAATCATATATCTGACCTGATTGTTTATAGTTCATGATGCATGAGCAAAATCGAAAGCTTCTGTGATATGACTGCCCTTGCACCATTCACCATCTAAGAACTTATTCACTATGTAAGACCTTGTTCGTTATGCTTCAGAAGATTGGAGACTGTTGAGAATTAGGCTTGGGGTTGATTAATGATTGTGNAAAAAAAAAAAAAAAAGCAACATCTTCATTATCCAAAATTCAGCTGATCAGCATAGTCATGAAGAATTTTTTTCATAAAGCTTTTATACAAAAAATTATAACAGAAAACAAGTTCATATGAAAGAGTTACTTTGAATATATATATACTTTTTAGGGTATTTTGAATTCACAGACATTCACACTTATATCTACCAAGCTACTATTCATAGAGTCATCAATCTCTGAATCTTAGTTCCTCATCTGTAAAATAATCTCAAAGGCCCCTTCTGGCTATATCATTACATGTTCTTTATAAAAACAAAAACTCTAAGTATCCAATAGGTGGGAATGTAAAACTAAATACACGTGGGAATGTAAATCATCCAATTATTTAGAATGCAGCATATTCCCATTAAGATTATTCAGCCTCCAACACACAAGAAACTACTATACAGTTATGTAATACTCAAGACACAACTAGAATAAACAGGAATAAAAATCAACCATATCATTCAGATATCTACATGTTTCCCTGAAAGCAAGCTGTATACCAGTAAGATTTCCTAAATTGGTAATCTGGGAGTTCATAATCTCTGTTATGAACTTTCTGGCTTGCTGGCATTCAACAAGTTATCTGGCCTTTCTGAGCCTTGGATTCTTGCCTATTTAGAGGTAGGAACAGATGATCTAGAGAGGCTCTTCCAACTATTAGTGACTTCTCAAGTCAAAGAAAAACAAAAAGGGTCCTTAAATTACATTTAGTTGACATCAGAAGAGTTGCTCAGCCGTATGTTCAATATCCCATGTAAATACACATAACCATGCAGGCTCTTTATTAATATATCAGAAGTTCATAAAAATTTATTGCTTCTTCAAATTTTGTGATTTCACATTAGTAATCACACAGAGAAGAATTATTTCTAGAAACTTTAAAATACATTAATTTTCCTATACAGCCCCGTAGGATACATTCTGAGGTACAAAAAAAAGTACACTGATTTCAGCATTTGAATTATTTGTAGCAGTTCAAGTTTTGTCATTCTGAACCGCTGTGTGTGTTATAGGATTAAAGCAGACAAGTGATCAAGGTGGGATGTCATGCTACCAACTCAGTACTGTTAGGCTCTGTTTCACTTGACTTTAGATATTTCTAAGGATTGTTACTTTTAAAGCTTAATTTTGTTTCTTATAATCATGTGAAATACCCACATGATCCCAAAGTCAAATCTATAATAAACAGATCTGTTCTAAGAAGTCTAGCTTATTCTCTGTTCCCTCCATGCACTTCTGAGTAAACGGCCTGAGACACAGAGAAGAAGGTGAAAAGCACGGCCTCTGGATTCAAACCTTGAGTGTGTGATCTTGCATTGTGACTCAGTTACTCTGAACCTACTTCCTCATGTCTACAATGATGATGATAATAGAACCTACTTCAGAGCAATGTTGTAAGGATTAAATAAAATGGTGTATACACAGTACCCAGCTTTGTGAGATCTCAGTGAAGATAAACCACTAGCATCAGGCTCTCCAACATCCTGGAGTTCAGACACAGATTAGGAAACAAACCTGTAGGTGCTGCATCAGTGGCTCATGGTCATGAAGCACCGTGGCCAAGACCATGACTCATCTTTCAGTGCAGTACCACCTGACAGTACTCACTTCTAGGCTCCAGGCTCTTTCGTGTTCCACACTCATTACATATTCCTACAGCCAGCACAGGGAAAAGATAATCTTACCCCCACCCCGGAAAACTTCAAAAGACTCACTGTGTTCAGTGCATTGAGCGTGGTGTCATCTCGAGACGCAGCGACACAGCCATCTTCTGTGGAGCCTCCATCACACATCCCTGCAAACGCCGCCATGCTCCTTGGAAGACAGGAAGGGGAGACGTCAGTACAGAAATTTTAACCCTCAATTTTCAGAGTACATTCTGAAATGTACATTCTGAAATGTAAAGCCCAGATCAAATTCCATTGCTACATACATGATAAGCCAGTGTTCTCAGTCCTGTTTCCATTCTTGTTTAAAGTACAGTTTATATATATACATCATACATATATATAAGTATGTATGTATCACATATATATGATATAAATATATTTTTAAGTACCTCTACAGTTCACCCTTCACTCACTCAAAAGAGAAATGTTGATTTTACTCAGGTCCATTTGTGTTATTTCTTCAAAAGCTTTATCAGAACTCAGACGATAGTTTTGGGGGCCTGAATAATCTAAAACTATCTGCCACAATAGTTGGCTAGATTACAATCTTTTGAGGGAAAAGTCTCCAGAAAGCATATGAAATTAAATCCTGAAACTTGACTTGACCCTTTTCTTGCTGTATCTAACCTACTTTTAGGTGAACCAGAAGTGGAAAAGAGAGGTGAAGAGAACTCTCAGTAGGCCTCACCCCACGGAAGCTCCCGCACCCTCCAAGCACAGCACTGTGCCCACCGAGCAGCCGGAGCTGAGCGTCTGTCGCCCAGCCTTGCTCTAGTTGCACATGTGTTGCTGCTGCTGTGAATGCCCCAGAAGTCAGACAAAGGAAGCTCTCTGCCTGCACTGCGATGTGTCAGGGATGGATTTAAACATATCTTCTGAAGTTTAGGCATCTGTAGGTTAGCAAGTTCTCATGAAGGTAAGCCACAAATACGTCCAGTTTAGGTCAGGCACCAGTGAACAGCCATAAAGTAGAGAAATCTACTAGAGGATTTTAAGACAGGCTGAATAACCCAACATTCCATTGTACTGAGAAGTGTTGATAACTGCATTCATGGCTTAACGTGTTTCTCCTGCTGAACAGTCCTAAATCTGATGTGGGGCAAACATCTAGAAGAAAATATATATTTTTAAGTACCTCTACAGTTCACCCTTCACTCACTCAAAAGAGAAATGTTGATTTTACTCAGGTCCATTTGTGTTATTTCTTCAAAAGCTTTATCAGAACTCAGACGATAGTTTTGGGGGCCTGAATAATCTAAAACTATCTGCCACAATAGTTGGCTAGATTACAATCTTTTGAGGGAAAAGTCTCCAGAAAGCATATGAAATTAAATCCTGAAACTTGACTTGACCCTTTTCTTGCTGTATCTAACCTACTTTTAGGTGAACCAGAAGTGGAAAAGAGAGGTGAAGAGAACTCTCAGTAGGCCTCACCCCACGGAAGCTCCCGCACCCTCCAAGCACAGCACTGTGCCCACCGAGCAGCCGGAGCTGAGCGTCTGTCGCCCAGCCTTGCTCTAGTTGCACATGTGTTGCTGCTGCTGTGAATGCCCCAGAAGTCAGACAAAGGAAGCTCTCTGCCTGCACTGCGATGTGTCAGGGATGGATTTAAACATATCTTCTGAAGTTTAGGCATCTGTAGGTTAGCAAGTTCTCATGAAGGTAAGCCACAAATACGTCCAGTTTAGGTCAGGCACCAGTGAACAGCCATAAAGTAGAGAAATCTACTAGAGGATTTTAAGACAGGCTGAATAACCCAACATTCCATTGTACTGAGAAGTGTTGATAACTGCATTCATGGCTTAACGTGTTTCTCCTGCTGAACAGTCCTAAATCTGATGTGGGGCAAACATCTAGAAGAAAAAAGTGACTTTACCATGGTAAACTATTTATCTCTGGTAAGAAGGATCAGGGCTCTGATTTCAGAGGGTATAACAAAACTTAAAGACAGAGAAGGCACAATATTTAAATAAAATTTCAGGGGAAAGGAGAAAGTTTATTGCCTACTAATTAACTATGACAGCTCAATTCAGACCACACGATGGGGTGGATTCATATTACCTTGCTGCCCTCAAGTACATAAGGAGGTCACAGTCATTAACTCCAGGCATCCACACCAGTTCTTCATGTTGGGTCACAGTGTCACCATCTGGAGAAGGGAATGGTTGCAAGTCGGGAAGTTTAGCCTGTAAGACAGGGATGAAGAAATCACAATCAACGCATGTTTAAAAAGCTGCCCCATCAGGCAAGCCCTCAATGCAGCGGCTTCCTGAGCCTCTTTCTTCAGAGAGCACTAAAATAACAGCAAAGCCATGAGTCATTAAAACCAGCCTGTAGCACATTTCAGGATCACCTCACCACAGAAGATCTCACAATGGACCCTCAATCTCTACTTAAGGAGCAGCAAACAGGTCAAACCCGTGCCAGTATGATCCAACAAGTGACATATAAATGGACACGTATGAATAAAAGAAATATAAAATGTCTCAGGAGATAACAGTTCCTTATGAAGAAGGCAAAAACACCCACATTTTCGATATAACAAATTTACAAATAATGAAGCCTCACCTAAGGATATCTGTGAAAAAAATAAATGACCTATTAAATTGATGTTATTCTCAAGAGTCAATAACAGTATGAGTCATTGTAAACAAAAAAAAAAGAATTGGGGTTAACATTAAAAATGTATTTGAACTAAATGATGGTGACAGAAATTAGACAGGTAGTGGCTTCAGGAGAAGACTACTTGTGGAGGGACAGGAAGGAACTTTCTGAGATGACAGAAATGTTCTGTATCTTGATATGAACTGTCGCAGCAGACTCAACAGTATGGATAAGACATGAACAGTTCACTGTGGGTCAAGTATACCTCAATTTAAAAAATTTTTAATATTTCAACAGTAGTGCTCAATAACCAAGTCTAAGCGTAAGTGGCCTCTGGGTTAGAGGTTCAAACGGCTCTGGTACTTTCCCATCGTCACTGTGCTGGGCAGAGCAAGAGTAAGTAGGTACTGCGACTCTCATGACTTTCAGAGACCTAAGAAAGTCAACCATCTGCAAAACACGTAAGTTCTTATTTTCTCAAATGATAAACATGGACACATCAGTCTAATATTTTAATCTAAGAGCTTTAAGTTTAAAAGTTCCAGTGTCCACAGAACCCAAGCAGAAAATTTAAATGAATGAAACAGGCTGAGTATAAGGTAGTCCTGTCCAATATAAATTGGAGCCACATACTTCATTTTAAATATTCTAGTATCCACATTAAACAAAACACTACATACCAATCTGGAATGGCCACATTTCAAGTGCTCAGAGCATGTAGGTATTAGGTTCCAGGAACCAGAATGAAATGGGGAGAATGCTGCCCCATCAAGAATATGCAGGAATGAAAACCAGTGTTTGTACATCCTCCAGTTTTATCCAAAGTCCAGAAATCTTGACTTTTATGTGAAAGCTCATGGTTTTAAATGTTGGATATTCAAGTTTTCATTTAAAACAAATATGTGGCAAAACACATTAGTAGGCCGTGTGGCTTTTGGGCTACTGGTCTGCAACCTCTGCTTCACAGGCTGCCTTTTGGAGCTTGTAACTGTGTTTCTTCAAACAATCACACTTTTCTTTAACTTGGTACTGGCTTTTCACAACACTCAATAGGGTGCCACAACTAGCTAGCTGTGCTTAAAACATATTAACTTGCCTACATAGTCCTAATCAGATACATTCCAAAGCCAAAAAACATATATAATAATAATAATAATAAGCTGTTCACAATCATCATGTTATTTACAGCAGTATCTGAGTATTATTATTCTGATTGTTATATATGTATTATGGGATTGAAAGCAAATTGATAATTATGTTGGTGTCACTTAAAAATAGAACTTGAGCCATGGAAAAAAGATACAGATACAGACAAATAAAAACAGGACTAAGTATATGGCCTAGATAAAAACTGGAATTGGAATTACAAGTATCAGAAAGAATCCATGACATACTTTATCTTTTAAAAAAAAGGAAAGGGGGGGGAATGCATTTCCTTATCTGTTCCCTGAAAAGGCCTGGAAACAGTAACCCAGCAACAATGCACACCCAAGCGGAGTAAAAAAATAAAAATGCTACTTGCTACTAAAACAATGAGGGCTCCTATGAGAAAAGTTTAATTCCAGATTGAGGACAGGGAATACACAAAGCAGCACACTGAAGTTGGGTCTCATCACATGAAAGGACCCTACCAAAGGCCAATGGGCTCGAGTAAAATGGACACGCAGACAGCAGCAAGAGGCTCCTACTGGCCCAGAACGAACAATCTAACCATCAGCAAGAGTGAACACGATCGGTCAGCAGGCACTTTCGAATGCATTGGTGGCTGCTGGGAGACACCGGGGAAGCGACTCAGTCCTCTGAAGACTAGTGAATAGAGGGAAATAATCAAGCACTTATCTTGCCTTTCTTACGTGATTCAGGGAATGAGACAGTTGGTAAGAGGAAACTTCATTTTATTCAGATAATGATAGGATTAGAATACTGCCATTTTACATAGTGGATCTAAGTAAAAAGCAATGGCTGCAAATCATCATTAGAAGAGAGACACACGTAGCCCCTGGTGGATGCACACAGCCCCACCCACGACGGTACCCAGGGGCAGGGTACCCAGCTAGAATGTAATTAAACCTCTAGATTTAACTACTAATTTTCAAGATATGCCAAGGACAAGGAATACAAATCTAATGACGCATAAGATGCAATTAACCAAATCCAGACTGTGGGACACCCTATCAGACAGAACTCCCACCTTCTTCATCACGTATTTGAGGAGGGGAAAACATTAAGAAAAACATATGAATTAAGAGAGACTTAAGAGGTATATCAACCAATTGCAATGGATGACTTTTATTTAGACTCCAATTTGAACTGTAAAAAAAAGAAAGAGAGTCAACTAGGGAACTAAATTGCCAATTTCTATTAGGTGTGATATACAGTTGACCCTTGAACAACACGGGCGGTGGGCAGTCAAAAATCCATGTATAACTTCTGACTCCCCAAAAATCTAACTACTAGTAGCTTACTGTCGATCAGAAGTCTTACTGATGACATAAAGCCAACTAACACATATTTTGTATATTATATGTATTATATACTGTATTCTTACAATAAAACAAGCTAGGGAAAAAGAAAATGATTTTTTAAATGGTCACAAATCTTAAATATTTTCCAATATTTTTGTTGACAAATATCTGCATATAAGTGGGCCTGAATAGTTCAAACCTGTATTATTCAAGGGTCAACTGTATTGTGATTGTGATTTTTGAAAAAGCTCTTATCTTTGGGATATTTACAAGTAAAATGATGTAGTTGTGAGTGATTTCAAAATAATGATTGGAAAGGTATGAGGGAAAATAAATGAACAAGGTTTGACCATAATATGTTACGTGTGGAGGCTGAGTAATGAAGATAAGGGGATTTATTGTTCTATTCTTGCCCTACTTTCACGTATGTTAATATTTTACCTAATAAAAAAGTTAAAAATTTTAAGAAGGTAGATGTTACCAATTCATTAAAAAAGAAAACCCTGTTACAGCTGATGCTCCAAAACACTTCCTTTCGGAAATAAAGCATAATATATTTAAAATCTGATATAAAATGATTATTTTAAATGAAAGTAAAACCCCAAGCATAATAAATCTGTTCCCATCTAAGAACTTAATCATCTTTTATTTAAGAACCACTTTTTCTGTCATGGTAAGAAGAAAAATCTGTAAAATACAACTCCAATACAAAGATCTCAAGACAATGGAAACACACAGAAAAAGAAAAAATTGTGGGGAAAATACAGTGAGGAAAAGAGAGTAGAGAGAGGGAGATGAGTGGTACCAAGCAAGTACTAGATTATTCCTTGATTAAAATTAACTCCTAAGCCTGAAGGTACAGAAACTACAGTCAAGAGGTGGTAGTCAGACCCATCTCACAGGCCATACCACCAACGGACGCACTCGAACAAGGCCGGCATCAAGAGGAATGTCCTCCTGCGGCTTCTTTCTGCCTGTTTCGGTTCTAATCCTGATTTCTGGGATGAGAAGTATCTTCTAGAAATGAGATGCCCCTGATGGTTTCTATGTTTTGATTTTAATATCCCCGCCCTTCTTAATTTCTTTCTCATTACAGAGTTAAAATAGCTTCTTAAAAATATGAATGAATACAAGAAATGTTCAAAATCTAGACAGAATAATGAATAACTACATAGACTACTAAAACCTCCACATCTTTATAAGGAGCTGCCTGTAGCTCAGATCCCTAGGATGTGATAGCCATATGACTCACTCCCAACATCTATTCCAACTCAAATGACAGTCGATTCCAATCATGTGTAAACCCATTTTCCTTATGGTTTAGAAACGAACACATGACCCAATCCATGGCAATGAGATGTGGGGACCAACTGAGACTTTCTGGAAAATTCTGGGAGAATTTTCCTTGTTCCTAATAAGAAGTGAGGAATGATCCCTTTCCTCCTCTCAACATTTGCTGTATTTCATTCATTGTAAGATCCACTGTTATTTTATATGCTTTCAGAAAGAAGAAATGCTGCCAATTAAACTATAATCACACCATAGAATGTACAATGTCAGAGATAGTAAAATGTGAAGGACAGGAGTACTTCACTGATCTCAGAATCAGTGAACTTCAGCTACTGGCCTAAGGAAGAAGGCAGGTTGTGGGAGACAGGTGAGCACCAAGGAAACCACACCGAAGCGGAGCAGAGCCTGAGTCCTGTCTGACCAGGATGTGATGATACATGGGACCATAAACAGCCACATTCAGGAGTTCTCTGGTGCTGCTTGCTACACCATCCTAACTGATAAAGAGATGACAAACATGACACCAGAGTCTTAGTAAACACAATAAAACATGAGAGGGCACAGGTCATAACTCAACGGGCTACCGACTGACCGATGGGCTATCCTAACCATCTCAACGCTTCTGAAGGAAAATTTTTTTTTAAAGTTGAAGTATGTGGTGACCAAATGTTCATCAACATATGAATGGATAAACAAAATGTGGCACATACACATTCACTGAATTATTCAGCCTTAAGAAGTTAAATTCTGATATATGCTGAACATGGTGCACTTTGAAGACTTTATGCTACGTAAGCTATGCCAGAAGCAAAAGGAAAATACCACATGATTCCGCGGATCTGGGGTAGTAATCCGGAGGAGCCAAATTCCCGAGGACAGAAAGGAGAATGGTGACTGCCAGGGAGCCGGGCAGAGGAGAATGAGGAGTGCTGGTTTAATGGGGATGGAGTTTCAGTTTGGGCAGATGAGAAAGTTCTGGTGGTGGCCACACAGCAATGTGAATGTACTTAATGCCACTGAACTATACACTTAATAATGGTAAATTTTTAAATTATGTATATTTCACAATTTTTTATTAGTGATCTGAAATAAAATCTCTGCATTTATATAAAATTTCCTATACTGTAACAACAGTTCTAAATTGCTGCTCAACAGAATAAAAGGCCAGCAGAAAAAGAAGAAATGAAAACCTAGTAAATAAGCTACTAAAATTTGCTTTACCTGATGACTAGGACCAACACGAATTTCCCCCTGGGTACTGTTCAGCCTCCTGTCATGAAAAGAGCAATAGGTTAGCACACATAGTTTTGACTTGAACATACACATATTTTTCAGGGAAAACAATTCGCATGGAATAAATGAGGGATAACTCAGGAAGATTCAACGTGCCCACTACTTCTAATGTTGCCCTGTACGTGTATACCTCCCCATTCTCCACACACATCTCTAACACCTTTTTCTTCTAAAAATCCAATTCCTGCAGCTTCCTGTCATGAGCACATCTACCATTCCTATTTCACGCCTTGGAGAGATGTACATTCCTGCAGAAAAATCCCAATATAATAAGTGGTTATTCTTTCCCAAACATTTCAGGGTGCTTTACCATAAACCTTATTAAAATATAAGCAAGGTAACTTCTGGCTCCTAGCATACACTGGGTCATTCATTCATTCAATACACTTACTCAGTGCCTACTATAAGTGGCACTGATAAGGCACTTATCAGTTGTTAGGGATAAGGCAATCAACAAAACAATGTCTCTGCCTTATTGGAACTTATATTCTAATTCAGGTAGAAAACAAAGAAACAAATAATACGTCAGATGATAATGTGGGCCAAGGAATTAAATAGATGGTAAATGATTAAATATTTTTATAGTTCTTTACATAGAATAGTCAGAAAAGGCCTTATGAATAAAGGAAAACTTCAGCAGAGATGAAAATGATGTGAGGGACGGAATGAGCCAGCAGGTCTAGGAGGTCTAAGACCTCATCTCATCTCCATCTATGTCATTCTTTGAATGTTACTCTCAACTTTGAATCATGACTATCTGTGGGCTATCTTAGGAAAACCTTTTCTGTGCCCAGTAACAAGTCTTTGTTGTTATTTTATAGTCACCTTTGAATTCCAATAGTGCTGAAGAGAAGGCTTTACATAGCGAAAGCTACTCAATGATTATTCGCTGACTTCTACTGAGCTTAAGAGCATAATAAAGCAATGAAGGACCAAAGAAGAAACGCAGACTCTTGCTTTTCTCCCATGGGTCTGATACCTGCACCGTCATGTTTGAAGTTGTTAAAATGAATGTTAGAAAATTAGTTTCTTTAGGTCCCATACTTAATTTTTTTTAATCCAACAATCTATTTCAGGAAGAGTCTTATTTTGGCAAAGCAAAGATGGGCAGTTCATATGACAAACGAAGAGAGAAGACTAACAAAAGGAGAAGGAGACATGTGGTCCAGGCCTTATGAAGCTTCTAATCCATCTACCTGGGGAGGCAGCACCCAGAACAGGTTCCACCATTAAATACATGAGCACAAAATATTTCAGGAGAAACCGAGTACAAAAATGCTAAGGGGAGTGATCCAACCTAGGCAGGCTTCAAGAAGAGACAGCCCACGAAGCGGTTAAGTTCCAGAGAGACCTCTCAAGGAGACAACAAGCACAACAGCAAGGCTGTGCAGGACTCCCGTGAGGGAGCAGAACTCCGAGAGGCAGAGAAGCCCACACAACGTGCTGACTGTCATTATCAGTCCTCTTCCTTTCTTCAGTAGGGAAGTAGCATGTTGAACAACAGAGGTGAGACGGACTGTTTTAGTAGCTTTAGAAACTGTTTTAGGACGTATAGGGAGGAATCAAATAGGCCAAGAGGCTATTTTAACCATGAGTGCAGTGCTTCTTTAAGAAGAACCAGCAGTCGGTGTTATCATTTTCCTTCCAACTTTGTTTTCTAACTAGCTGTGGACAAAACTAGCTGCCAAAAGCTCTCTCCTTTATTTCTAAATACTTTCCAAATGCTTGCCTGCCTATGAGTATAGGTCAAGTCAAAACGTTATCATCTCAGAATGCTTCAGCCATGGCTTGTCCAGTAATGTGCCCACAGCTCAACTTTTAGGTTTTTCTAGAAGGTCTATGCTGTGCCAAGATTCTCAAGTGGTTGGTTAGGAAAGCACCTTCACATCACTGCTACATACACTGTTAAGTTCTGATAATTTCAGGAGAAACATTACTGGTTCATTTTTATTTTAATATTTTTCTCTTTTTTCTTTCGTGTTTTGTATTTTTTTATTTTAGTATTTTAATAAACCAATATTATATTTAGCTTAAAAAACGTACCATATTAAAACAAAACCCTGAACAGAATAGAACTACCTATATTCCACTAATTTATATAACAACAGAAAGTCAATAATTATTACTACTGCTAATTAATGATACAAGTGAGACAAAAAATATGCTGGGGTATCTCAACAGCCTCAGTTGGAAGTTGTTTCTCTCTTTTATATCAACAAAGGGTATAATGAGGTGAACTGTTTAAAAAGCACAAAATAAAACAAAGAACCTTTTAAAATTAAGAATCAATTTTTACAACAAAAGTATTTCTTAATCATATGCAGCATTTAATTATTAAGGTTTCCTAGCAAGAGATACAACAGCTATTTTTGAAAGGATTAGGATTTGAGGAAAGAAGACAATAAGCATTAGCGGATCATATCCAGAAACTCCCAAATATAGACTAAATGGTAGAAATATTTTTTAGGTCTATGATAAGAAGAGGTAGACAGAAACATACTCCCTTAGAGAGAACTGAATGCCTCTGACAGAACTGTTGTCAAAATATGAACTAAAGATGAAAGACAAGAAGCAGGCTTTCTTGGAAATGACCAGTATCCAGCTGTACCTGGAATCCGTGGAACGGCCACAATCCCTACCTCTTTTGGCAGCATCCAGACTCTTCATTAAATTAAATGTTCCTCACTGCTTCCTTCCTCCTCAATGCTCCTTTGTGGTTCGTTCTGCACTCACTCAAGGGTGACACTCTCCTGTGACTAATTTGACCATTTCCCATCTTTACCCACTCTGGGACTGTAAGCTTCTAGAGGACAAGAACTGAGATTTAATTCATTTTCTTGTGTCCCCCAAAATCTAATACACTACCTACCTGGCATTATCATGCACCCAAGAAAATTAAAGGTTCTTTGGTTATATGAATGTTTCTAGATAACTAAAATGCAGAACTTGGTAAAACCACCAGAAATTATTATTTAAATGCCATATCAACAAGCTTATAGAAAACACTCTAAATAATCATTAGCTGACTTAACACAGCAGTCCTCAAACATTTTAGTCTCATAACCCCTTTACCCTTCTTAAATTACTGAGCATTCCAAGGAAGCTGTATTTTTGAGAAATTTCAAAATATTTGTTTGTTTATAAAGAGTAATAAGCTCATTACATGTTAACATGTATGACATATTTTTATGAAAAATAATTTTTTAAACAAAAAACTTAGTGAAAACAAAGGCACTGTTTTCAGTTCTGCAAATCCCTTTGATACCTGATTTAAATAGAAGATAAGTGGATTCTTGTATCTGCTCTACATCCAATCTGTTGCAATACATTGTTAAGGGTGGTGTATATGAAGAAAATGCAGCCTCACACTGATACATGTAACTTAGTAAAGGGGAGAATAACTTCATAGCTGTTTGGTAATTACATGGATTCTTCTTGATGCTACACCAAAACCCAACAAATGATTGTTCCTCAAAGGTTTTGGCACAATGTGAATCTAAAACCTTACCAATGATCTTTTGGAGTCTTTTACATTAAAATCCACAGTCTGTCTTGGCCTTTGAATGGATCTTCTACTCAGACATGATTTTGTGATATTTTGCTTTGATTATATAGAAAGTATTAGTTCACTAGGTTTTGTAGATCTTCCAAATATTATCAGTTCATTATACAATATTTTTCTTAAGTCACATTCATTAATGTCACCACCCATACTATAAGAAAGCCTGTAGGTATACAGAAGTTGTCAAGCTCAGAGTGGTTGGTACCAGTTTTTTAAAATTCTAATTTTTTCTTGAAAGTTCAAATTGCACTGGCAAATACTATCAGTTGTTTTTCAGAAAAATGGCTGTCGATTACCCAAGTCTGAACAACCAGTTTGTTATTTTTTCAAACAAAAATGTTCCATGAGAAACATGGCTGCTTACGCTTCAACTCAAACAATCTGTGTCTTTCGGCATGCAACAGCAGTCTTGTGTGTCACTTTACATAAAGAATATTCATCAAAAAGAATATTACAAAGACATGATGAACTCACAGGTTGGAATTTGATAAAATTAATCATGGGAGCCACAAACCATGCTTTGAGAAGCACCATTCTAGTACATTTTGAACTTTAGAAAATATATAGAGGCTAAGATTCAGAAGGCCCCTAATGCCAGGTTTATCCTTTAATCAGTAACAAAAGCTAACATTTGAGTACTTTCTTTCTGTTTTAGGTGCTCTACATCATTATCTCATTTCTATACAGTAACTCATTTAACTCATATTGATATTGCTTTAATGAAAAAAAGCATTAGTAGGGGCATTCACAGAAATTCAGACCTCATCTAGCTTGTTTTTAAAATAGCATAGCTACAAAAGAGTTTTCTGCTTGTTGTACAGCACTGCTTATTAAGAGCAGATCTGGGTAAAACCAGGGTAGTCATGAATTAAAGAAGGAAAATCCCAACCACTATAAATCCCAGCAAGGTCAGATGAAGGATACTATGTCTGAAATAAGAAACCAAAGACGGAAGTTATATCCCAGGATAGCAGGATAATGCAGTACACATCTATGTGCACCTCAGGATTTTCACCTCATTATCTTAAGTTCAAGTATCTCATTGTATGACAAACACAAGCAAAATTAATCACTTATCAAGTGCTGTCTCTGAAAGGTATACATTATTCCCATTACAACCCCATGAGGCAGTGTGTCTGCTTTAGAGATAATAACAGTGTAATTGTAACATTAATAAAGAAACTAACATATACATTGAATTCTTACCACATGCTAGACATATCAAGCTAAGCAAATTCCATATATCTTCTTATCTAATCTTAAGGATGATCCTGTAAGGTAGATGTTATTATTACCTGTCCAGATATGGAAAATGAAGCTAAGAGAGGTTATTTAATTGTCCAGGACTACAAGCTAACAAGTGGAAAAACCAGGATTCAAACTCAAGTTTAGTTGACTGCAAAGTCAAAGTTCCC